AACAACCCCATGAAAAATCGGCTAAGGATCTGAATAGACCTACGAGTGTAACAGACGACATATGAATATAAACGGCCGCAGATTTACCAAGAGATGCTCCATGTCATCACCGTCCGGGAAAGCACCACAGCGAGGGGCAGGATGCTGACTGCCAAAGCTGGCGAGGATGAGGAGAGACTGCAACACTGGGATACCACTGCTGGGAGTGCAAACTGCTACAGCCATTGTGAAGAGCACAGAGATTCCTCAAAAACTTAAAAATAGGACTGCCATGTGACCCAGCGATTTCGCTTCTGGGTATTTATCCAGAAAAATTGAAAATGTAATCTCAAAGTGATATTAACATTCCCAGGTCCACGCAGCCCTATTAGCAGTAGCCGGGATGCGGAGGGAAACAACCTAACACACAGATGAGTGTAGTCAAAATATATGCATACAATGGAATACTGATTTTTCCTATTTTATTTGAAAGGCAGCAAGACAAAGAGAGAGAGAGAGGTTTTCTGGTTTGCCCCCTAAATGCCCACAGCAGCCAGGGCTGGGTCGGGCTGATGTCCAGAGCTAAGAACTCCATCCAGGTCTCTCATGTGGGTGGCCGGGATCTAAGTACTTGAGCCACAGCTGCTGCCACCCGCCCCCCACCCTGCCCCCGGTCCGGGAAGCGCATTCGCAGGAAGCTGGATTGGAAGCAGAGCAGCTGGGACTCACACCAGGCTCTCGGAAATGGGAGGCGGGTGTCCTGAGCGTCAGACGCCCGCCCAGGGAATACCATTCAGCTTTTAGAAAGAAAGACACCCTGCCATGTGCAATGGCATGGACGACTCTGAGGGCGTCGTGCTAATGCTGCGAGGTCCAGTGCTGCGTGGTTCTGCTTACGTGGGGGGATTCTGGGGGCAGACGGCAGAATGGCGGTCGCCAGTGGCTGAGGGAGGGGTGCAGGGAGAGGCCCCTCAGTCATGCCAGGTGGGCGCGTGCTGAGCACCACACGCCTACAGGTAACAGGACTTAAAGACCCGCCAGGAGGGAGCTCTCACGTTTAGTGTTCTTAGCACAAGGAAGTCCTAAAATACAACAACAAAAACTAAAAACGAATTTGCCAAGCAGATACGAGCTGTGGACAGGGGGCAGAGGGCCTTGGGCAGTGTGCACAACCCAGAGTTGGCTTCTGCTACTCCGGGAACCTCCTCGTCTGAGGCACACTCGCTCCGGGACAGTGTGCCGGCTCCGTGGCCACCACCTTTCTCCATCCTCAGAGGAGGATGTCTGACCTGCGCGCGGTATCGGTGGCCAGCGCAGCTTCCGCGCCACAGGGTTCCCGCCACGTAGCTGGAGCTGGGTGACGGACTGAGAACACCACAAGCGGGCCAGGGAGGGGCGCCACTTGCGAGACCTGGATTCCAGGGCTGACTCTGCCACGGGAGGCTGGGGGCCCTGAGCATCCGTTCCCCCCTGGAAACCTGGTGCTGCGCGAGTCTACAGAGAAAGGAGGCCCGATGCACGTGCTGCTGCCTCCCTGAATGCTACCCTCAGGCCACAGTGGGACGATGGAGTTGAGGACGCAGCAGCACGGATGGGGGCGCCGCCTGGGCCCGCAGGAGGGAGCCTCTGGGTGCTGGGCTGGGGGCCCGGGCTCAGGGGAGCGTCACAGAAGTGGCTTTGAGCGGGGCCTGGGAGGAAGTGCCAGGGCCAGGAGGACAGAGAGCCTGGGAGTGGGTAACTGAGGGGAGGGCTCAGGGTGGCAGGGGATCCGCAGGGGCCTCCTTCTGTGCAGGGAGCTGGTGCCCCTCCAGGCTGGTGGGCCCAGGGACCGAGCGCACACCCAGTCTTCAAGGGCCTGGGGCCCGGCTCTGAGCACTCTGTCCCCTCCCGTGAGGTCTGTTCTAAATGAGATCCTGACACCGAGATGGCAGTGGGTTTGGGTTCGACTCAGGGGCACAAAGAAGGAGAAGCAGGGGAGCCCCAGTGGGGTACACAGCAGAGGATGGAGAGGGTGGCCATGACCATGAGAAAAGGCAACTCTGGCTCTGGCTGGCCACAGGGAGGCAGGCAGGGTGAGCCCGGGCCCACAGCGGGGACTGATGGTGCTGGGGGCTCTGGGCGCCACCCAGACACATCCTGTTGCAGAGGCCTAGGGGGCGTGACCTGCGTCATCTAGTGGGGGGCTGCACCTGGGGGTCTGGGGGGAGTTCTGGGGGCAACAGGGTCCCAGGGAGGGGCGGGGGCCAGCCTGAGCTTTTCCAGCATGGAGGGAGGTAGCAACAGTGCCTTGGGCTCCGGAAACTTCCAGGAGCTCCCTCCGCCTGCTCTGGGGCCTTGGTCAGTCCTGATAGGGGTGTGTACGATAAAGCAGGGAGGCAACAACTGGCTCTGGGAATTCAGGGGCCTCCAGGGAGCCGGGAAAGGCACCAGGTTCCCCAGGAGATAAGTGAGACCCCCTGGGCACCGCTCTTTGGCCCTAGCTTTCCTTAAGGCCCTGTTTTGGGAAAGCCAGGCTGTCTGCCGGAGAGAATCCTGGGTCAGGAGATGAGGCGCTCCAGGCCAGCCTGGCAGGGGGCGGGTCGTGCATCCTGGGGCAGGCACTCAGTCCTGTGCCCCATGCAGGTCAACATGTGCCCAGTCCCTGAGAGTCCTGTCTGCCTGGAGGCACGCAGCTCTCTGAGGGCCACAGGGCCCTACTGTGAGTGCCCTGGTACACCTAGTTCCCGCTCCGCCCCATGCCGTCCTCTGCATGCCCTTACAGAGAACACAGTACAGCAGGAGTCTGCGTCACAGGTGAACAAACCAAAGCTCAGAGCAGGTGATCCCTCACCCGAGGCAGCACCGCTGTAACAGCAGGGCCAGGATTTGAACCCTGGCCCCAGGGATGACACGCTAGCTTGGTACCCAGGGCTCTGGTTGCTTGCTTTACAGAATGGTGGAAGCCATAGATGATTTTTTTTTTTACTCTTTGAATTCTCCAGAAGCAGGGGTTGGGTCTGTGTATCTCACCCAAGTGTGCAATCAGAGGGGCCGGGCTGACCTGATGCCGTCCGGATCTCATACTAGGTCTGTACTGCCTCAGGCAGTGTGAAAAGCATCCCAGAAGCCAGGCCAGCACTCGGCAACAGCCCTGCTTCCTGCTCGGGGAGCAGGTGACAGCCACACCAGGAGGTGTCCTGATACTGCAGGGCGATGTGCTGGGTAATTCAGGTCACTGCCTAGAACAGTGCTTATCTGAGGTGAGTTGTCAGGGGCGCAGGGCGATGCAGCTCCCTGCCACCCATCCCAAAGGGATGCCAAAGCATGAGCCGCTGGTCCTCCTGGGGCTGCATCCTGAGCCAAGACCCTGTGAGTGCACAGCCAAGTCCAGAGCGGCCGGCTTGTCTGAGTCTGAAACAAGTGTGTGCGTGAGCTGACCTGGTCTATCACCCAGTGTGTGTGTGAGCTGACCTGGTCTGCCGCCCAGTGTGTGCGTGAGCTGACCTGGTCTGAATCCCAGTGTGTGCGTGAGCTGACCTGGTCTACCTCCCAGTGTGTGTGTGAGCTGACCTGGTCTACTGCCCAGTGTGTGCGTGAGCCGACCTGGTCTACCGCCCAGTGTGCGCGTGAGCCAACCTGGTCTACCTCCCAGTGTGTGCGTGAGCTGACTGCACAGTTGCAAGACATGCAGGTTTACAGTCACCGGGAGGGACCCGGTTGGCCAACGGACGCTTCCAGAACCTCGCCAGTGCCCCTGCCTTCCCTTACTGCTCTGCTACCTCCTTTCTTTCAGACCCGCAAACACATCCCTTGGTTCCCCAACCTCCTTTTTCTGCCTCTTTCTGCTGCCTTTGGTTAAAAGAATTTCTCTGGAGACCTGGCCACTCTGCCCGCCCCACCTCCACTGCCCCCTGCCCCAGGACCTCCTCGTCTGCCCGGATCCCTTGGTCTGCAGAGGCTGTCCCTCCCTGTGGCGGTGCCATCGCAGGGGGCTGCGGGGTGGGAGGGGCTGGCTCAGGCTGTGCCGGCCTGCACGTGCTCTTCTGGAGCCTTCTCTGGCACCTCACCCTCCTGCCCCTCCTCCCCGCTCTTGCTGGGTGAGTCCCTCGGGCCCCAGGCTCGAGCGCTAGGCACACACAGACATTCACTCCTAGTCCCCTCTCTGCCGCGACCCCTTCTGGCTCTGCAGAGCCTTCTGCCCAAACGGCCTCAGGACGCCGGCTGGGGACCGGGGAAGACGACTCCTGCTTTTCACTCTGATCCTGTTTCTCTTCCCGTGCTAGAGAACCCAGAAAATGGTGCCACAGGCTGGCCCGGGGCCGAGGGGAGCTCCCGCCACTGCTGCCTTCCCTACATCTCCCATCGGCAAGTGCTTTGTTCTGACTGAAATCACCACTGGACCCCATACTCCCTCCCTCCCCTGCACGGCAATGTTCCCAGCCGCCGGCCTCGCCCTGGACAGCAGCAACAGCCCCCGACCAGCCTCCCTCCAATTCTCATTTATTTTCATCTTAGAGGCAGAGTGGCAGACAGACAGAGCTTCCATCTGCTGATTTACTCTCCAAAGGCCCCCAACAGCAGAGCTGGGCCACGCTGAGGCCAGGAGCCCGGAACTCAATCTGGGTCTCCCACGTGGGTGGCAGGGACCCAAGTCCCGGAGCCGTCACCGCTGCCTCCCAGGGTGGGCATTAGCGGGGCCGGAATCAGAAGAGGGAAGAGCCAGAACTTGAACCAGGTGTTCTGACGGAGGATGTGGGCATCCCTAGTGGCTTCTTAATCACTGTGCCACGCTCCCGCGCCCGAGAGCGACCAGGGTGACCTTACAGAGAGTGATTTAACATCCGGTAGCGCAAGTGCCCCACTGAGTTCTTGCTTCCCCCAAAGCTTCCCGGTTATTCTTTTCTTCAACAACATTTGGAAGCAAACGGATTCTTTCGAAAAGCAGTAATCGGATGGTAGACGGGTCCGTGGCGGAGACCCGTGCACGCAGCTGCTTTCCCGACATGCTCGCCGGTGCAGCAGGTGCCGCGGGCGTCTCTTACCTCCCTGAGGCAGGTGTAGATGGGGCACACGAGCACGCGGAAGGGCTCGCCCGTGCTGCTGCGCATGGTGCCGAACACCTCGCACAGGAAGGTGATGAAGCCCAGCCAGCGCTCCACGTCCTGCTGCTGCAGCTCCTCGCGCACCGTGAAGTCCTTCTGTGGAGGCACAAGACACCCCGTCAACCTCGCCCCGTGCGAGCAAGCAGGGCCATCCCGACCTCCCGCGCAGGACCTCCTCCTCAGGCGACCCCAGCTTGGTGCCGCGACCACACCTCTCTCTGCATTGCCATTCCTTTGCCAGGATGCCCCTGCCTGGCCCCAACACTGCGCTGGGGACACAGGGACAGGATGGAGAGGGAGAGGACCCCTCCCCTGTGGCCATTCAACTCCTTGTGGCGAATCCATGCACCTTTGTGACCCCGTCACAGCTCTGCATCAGCAACGGGACCAGAACACTGTCCGCTTGCATGGGGTCAGCCATGGCCCATCTCAGCCTCGGCACTGGGCTAGAGGCATAAGCTCCGGCCCCTGCCGCGGGGGTCCTCAAAGATAGTGGGAAAATTAGAGGAATTCGTGCACGCGTTTATCCATTCCTCCTCCTCACACGTGTCATCCCCCTGCTCCCGGCACCAGGCACTACACTAGGGGCTGGGACAAGCATGTTAGTTCCCGTCCGTGCACAAGATGGAAGGTATTCAAAGCCTTCACAGGGGTTCAGTAAAGGGACTCTGGGAGCACAGAGATGGGAGCTGTTACTTTCTTTTAAAAAAGACTATCTAATTTATTTATTTGAAAGGCAGAATGATAAGGAGAGACAAAGAAAGAAATAAATCTTTCATTTACTAGTTTGCTCCCCAAAGGGCCACAGCAGCCAGGGCTGGGCCAGGCTGAAGCCAGCAGCTGTGAGCCAGTAGCTCCTTTCAGGTGTCCCACGTGGGTGGCAGGGCCTAGAGTTACTACCTGGAGGTCAGGGCCCCGCAAGAGGCCAGGATGCTGACATGGGAGCATGGCGGCCTTTGGGGTGGGGAGAATGGCAAGAGAGGCAGGCGCAGGGGGATAACACAGGTATGTGGGAAACAGGGAGGTGTAACCAGCGGGGCTGCAGCAGCGGAGCCGGGAAGGGGGAGCGGCAGGGGGACAGAGGCAATAAGAGCTGGTCCCCTGGGATGTTCAGAGGGAAGTCTCTGGGCTGGGGGTCTGGGTCTGGAATGCCCCTGGGAAACTGCGGCAGGGGCGTGCAGAGCAGGCAGGGACTACTGCGGACGTCCAGGCAGGACGAGAGCAAACACGGAGCTCCTGCGCAGTGGAAATAGAGGCCTCAGTCACATTCAGAAACACGTTGTCCTGCCTGTGTCATTGGTTCTGGCCACGTAACCCCCTTCGGCCACCAGAATGAGGCAGAAGTGACAGGTGTCAGCTCTGACCTAAAGCCCCAGGAGGTTATGTCTCCTGTCAGGCTTCTTCTAACGTCACGAATAGACCATCCTTGGGGCCATCAGGCCAGGCTAGAGGTGGGAGGCCCTCAGTCGATGTCTCTCCTACGTGCAATGACCATGCCATTCACAAGGACCCGCCCCGGCTCCTCAGCCGGCCAGTCAGCGGCAGGTGAGCAGATCGCCAAGAGGAGCCCCACCAGTCCCAGCTCTCGATGAGCCAAGGGCACAGCGTGTAACCGTCAGAGTCGCATCAATCACCAGCGTGTGTTGTAAGTGGTGACTCTACCTCTACCCCTGTGTGAAACAGCAGCAGCAGCTGTCTATGAGGCAGCGACCTTCCTCGTCATTCACGCATCGCAACGACCCTACATAGCCCCGTCGCATAGATGGTGATTCTGAGCTTCCGGAAGGCACACGGCGGAGCTGGGCCTTAAACCCAGGTCTCCTTGCTCTGGAGAGCATACTTGATCATGTGCTCCCCGGCTCTCCTGTGCTGTGCACAGCCTCATGCTGGGAGCAAACTCAGAGAATAACAGGGACTGCGGGGAAGCAAGCAGACACGTGCACTGTCTCGCGGTCGCACGAGTGTTTCTAAGTTGGAAAAGTTGCAATCAGAATCCAAGCTCTCAGCCATGCTCCAAGTCTTCACTCTCCTCCAGGCCTTTGTCCACGCCATGCCTGGAAGTCCACCTGTGGACCTCGCTCCCCAGGGCAGTGTCCACCTGCTGACAGCTGCCGTGTGCAGGACCCGGAGTCGTTATGTTTGACTCCCACCCTAGGGGCTGAGCCAGGGCAGGCTCCCTTAAAGAGACCCCTGGGCTTTGGGAGTGGCCAGTCCCTTTGCTGGCTGTGTGTCCCCTCGCTAGTAGCGAGACTGGAGAGGGATCACCCTAGGGGTCAGGGGAGCTGCGAGTGCATGGGTTTTACAGCACACGGTGCCCACTGTAAAGCTGGGAAAGCGCCCTGGCCTGTTGGCCTTAAAGTCACCAGTCTTTTTGCTGCTTCCCTTCATTAACCTGTGTTTATCCCATACTATTCCTGTGTGATCAGAGCAGGGGCAGGCAACATTTTTCATTGTAAAGTGTCGGGGGAGGGGAGAACTGAGGCCCAAAGAGATCAGAACACTGGAGGAGGGGAACGCACAGTTGTAGATCCTGAGTGAGAACGAAGCCCGTTCCCTGCTCTGGATGAAGCATCTCAGCCCCGGGGCACACAGGAGTCATCTGGAGGGGACTGGAAGGTACTGAGGCCCTGCTCCACCCCCAGAGACTCATGGAACTGGCCAGAATCACACGGGACACTGGCCACTGCTCATAGCTCCCACTGTTCACAGCGCCCAGTGTACAACCAGGGCTGAGAACTGCAACTCTAGGCCTTTCTAAAGTGCCAACTTGGGTGTTAACATGGTGCACTTCCATCAGTGCCCAACTTGCCCTTCTACCATTGCCCATAAAAATTCCTACGAAGGCACACACAGGAGACGCAAGAACGCCGAGGAGAGGGAGAGAGCTGTGAGCCAGGGGACTCCTACCAGACTCGGAGCCAACACCATGGACTAAAGGGCCCTCACCAGGAAACGGTGCGGCCCCTGACCCAGAAGACTGGAGCTTCGACCCCTCCCTCTGCTTGGCCCTGCGTGGTGGACAGGAAGTGGTTACAAGCCAAGCCCTGGGCCTGTGCATTAAAGCAATTCCCTTCCACGCTGCCCTGCTGCGAGCCTTGGAGACCCAGGGCTGTGCCAGGGGCAGAGGAGATGGGGAGGGACGGTGCTTCCGGGCAGACGCCGGCAGGGCAGTGTGTGCTAGGGACTAGAGTTTTAAAGAAGCCTACATTTGATCAAAGGCCCATGGCTGGACTTGCTTTCCTCCTGATACTCCATGGCGAAGAGAGGACTGTGTTTTGGCTAAAGACGCTGGCCAGGAGACTGCGTGCCTGGCAGTTACTGGAAGCTGGACTTGGGAGGGGCATGGGGAGACACCACCGACTCCAGGTCTGAAAGGCAGCCTCTGTGATGACCTCCGCCGACGCTGAGTGACGCCGAGGATGATCCCCAGGCGAACACGAAGACCAGACGGAGCCTTCCTCGTTCAAGGGTAAAGAAGGAGAAAAGCAATATGGTGGCCGGGGGAAGACCCTGCCCTGCAGGGCAGGGGCGTACTTTGGAGAATTCTGGAAACGCACACTGAAAAGGTTAACAACAGCCTACAAATACATAAAATAATCCCAGCACAAAACGAGTGGGCTCGCATGTGTTAAGAAGGATGACGGTGTGGATCCTGCAATGGTGCTGAGACGGGGTCAGGATGAGCCACAGGCCTCGGGCAGACACGAAGTGTGAGACGGGAACAGGGGACAGGAAGGAACCAACGGTCAGGACTCCGGCAGCAAAGGGACACACATCAGAGGCAGCAGAGGGGAGGGTAGAGGCTGCAGAAAGAGTGACGCGGACAACACCTACACAGCCCAGTGCAAGGACAAAGCCCCCAAATAAAAGCAAAGTATTTGAGGTGCTGTATCAATAAGAGGCATAAAAATGACAATAAAGCACTTTGTTTTAAAAAGTGAACTCTTCAGGTAAAAGGGCCCCACAGCCTTGCTGAGCCTATTTAAACTTAGCAGGAGAATTTTCTTTTTTTTTTTAATTTTAAGGAAAAGGAGAAATTCTAAAAGTAGTTATAGAGGGGAATAATAAACTCAGGTTGCTTACAAAGGAACGGAAGTCCGGCCTTATCCTTTCATATTTGAAGTTAAAATCCAGAGACACAGAGGCAGCAAGGGACAGCTCTTACCCACGCCAGGGTTTAAGACAAGTCTCCCCTACAGGCTTATTATTATTATTATTTTTTTTTTGACAGGCAGAGTGGACAGTGAGTGAGAGAGACAGAGAGAAAGGTCTTCCTTTGCCGTTGGTTCACCCTCCAATGGCCGCCGCGGCCGGTGCGCTGCGGCCGGCGCACCGCACTGATCCGATGGCAGGAGCCAGGTACTTCTCCTGGTCTCCCGTGGGGTGCAGGGCCCAAGGACTTGGGCCATCCTCCACTGCACTCCCGGGCCACAGCAGAGAGCTGGCCTGGAAGAGGAGCAACCGGGACAGAATCCAGCGCTCCAACCGGGACTAGAACCCGGTGTGCCGGCGCCGCAAGGTGGAGGATTAGAGGCTTATCTTTAAAAAGTTAAATGGCAAGGCCACTATGGAAAATAGTATGGAAATTCTTCAAAGACTGAAAAGTAGAATTAGCATATGAGTCGGCAATTCCACTGCTGGGTACATACCCAGAAGAACTGAAAGCAAGACCTGCACATCCAACTCACACAACATTAATGGCCAGAGCAACCCCAGTGCCCCTCCCCAGACGACTGGGTCAAAAACACGGCGTATGCACACAGGGAGTGCTACTCAGCCTTCCCGAAGGAAGGACACGCTGACGGGTGAAGCGTGAGCACGCTACGTCAACAAAGCAGTCACAAACCGGGCCAATACTGTTTGATTCCCTCTACAGTCAGCCAGAGCAGTCAAATTCACAGTAGCATGGGGGAGGGGTTCGGAGGGGCTGGGGAGGGGGACATGGGGAGTTGTCCTATGGCTGCAGAGTTTCAGTTTTGCAAGATGAAAAAGTAGAGAGTGCACAAGGAGGCCCACGCGGTTAATACCACTGACTTGTACACTCAGTAATGGGAGAAATGGGGACATTTCTGTGCTTTTTTTCCCCTTACTACAAT